CTAATTGTTTTGAAATGGCAGCAACAGCAGCAACAGCAACATCGTGAGAGGTTTTGAATGGTTGCAAATGGTCGACGCATTACAATCGCATTTGAATCCCTTTAAAAATCGTTTAATTATCCTATGAATATCGTGCCTTTATTTTTTGTTTTTGTTTGTTTGTTTGTTTGTTTGTTCCGATAAATGTTTGTTTGTTTCACGTCGTTAATAAATTACATTACGTACATTTATGTATCCGTCGATCGATGTTAATAAAATAAAAAATCCATCGCGTTTCGTATCTTTCGAAAAATATAATTTACGCACAATCGTGTGAAAAGAATACGATTTTAACGTATTGTCTTTTGTTTGTTTGTTTGTTTGTCTGTTTTTTATCTCAAAAAAATGATTATATAATTAAATGGTTCGCTCAACGCCGCGGTTTTGATTTAAATTTTTTTTAAAAAAATAAAATAAAATTAATGGCAGAAGTGACCCAACAATAATTAAGCCAAAAAAAAGAAAACAAAAATTCTTTTATTGAGAACTATTATTATTATTATTATTATTATTATTATTATTATTATTAATATTTATTTTTAAAATCAAACATTCGGTCGTGATTTAAGAATTAGTTCGAACTAAAAAAAACAATTTTTTTTTTTTTTTTTTTTTTTTTTATTCCCGTAAATGGGTTTGTTTTATCGATGAGAGAGAGAGAGAGAGAATTTTAAAAATAAAATTTCAAGTTTTTTGTTGTTGTTGTTGTTTGTTTGCGGTTGTACAAATTTGCGATGCGGTAACAAACGACAAATTTTGGGTTGTAAAGAAAATAATAATACTTGAATAGTGGGTTTAAAAAATAATAATCGTTTCCGTTTTTCCTTTCGGTACATCCGGGAAAGTTTAGTTTGTTAACAACAAACATCAAAAAAAAAAAAAAAAAAAAAAGAATTTTTTCGAAAAATGGAATTTATCATTATCATTATTATTATCATTATTATTATTATAACCGTGGTATCGCGATAATGATATTTGATAAATGATTTATTCAAGTGCAAAACAACATTTTTAATGACGAATAAATTCAATGCCTACGTAATTTTTTTTCGTAAAAGTGGTAGTAGTTTAGTACAAAATCGTATAGGAAAAATTATTAAAATATTTCATTGAAGGTTTCTTATTAATTTAAACTTGACCTTTTGAGTAATAATCGGAATTTATTTTTAGATTTAAGGCGGTCTTGCATGTTTCACGAACTCACATTTTTTTTTTTTTTTTTTTTTTCGTATTCGTTTCATTCATGATTGTATAAAAATATAAAAATAATTAAACTAACTACTAATACGAGAGAATTTTCGGATGTGAACGAGAGAACAAAACCACTTCCGGTATTTCGTTTTTGTTTACTTCCGCTTTTCGAAATATCGATTGGAATTTTGCATCGAAAAAAAATATCGCGATGTCATTTACGCGATTCGCTGAATCTGATAAGGTTATCAATCGGGGAAAACAAGCAACAACAACACGGAGGGTAGGGGAGGGGGTGTGATGAAAACGTCATCAAATTCATTGACTCTAGCGTGAATCCGTCAAATCGAGAAACGTAATCCGTTTCATAAAAATATTATTATTATTATTTAATCGTTTCGATGCGGTTGTTTGATAGATTTGGTTGTTTTGTTTTGTTTTTATGATTGTTTTCGACATTTTAACAACGTGGTGTGTTAAAGTTGTCGACGACGGATTCACTTAAACAACAACAACAACAACAAAAAAATTATGTTAATTATTTTGTTACGAGATGATACTTAATGACACATTATCGGGGTGGTCGGATTTTAACGTATCTATTTACACGTCCGTCCGTCTCGCCATCATTTTAAACGTGTTTTTTTAAAAATATATAATTAGCGGTTTAGATTTAAATATTAACATGGTGTGTGCGTGCGCGCGTGTGCGTGTCAGTTGTGTGTTTGAAAAAATGCCGAATTATGTTAGATTCAAAGAGTTTGATAGGAAACACGGGTGTCGGTACGGGTATCCCTTACGGGTTTGTTTTTTTTCATTGTTTCACTCGTGCGACAGGAAAATATACAAGAAAAAAATGAGAGGGGGAGGGGTGGGGTGGGGTGGAAGGATAATTTATTACAAACGAAACCATTATGGGTAAATTAAAAAATTACGTAAAAAAAAAAAAAAAAAAAAAAAAAAAACTGGTAAAGGTAAATAAGAAAGAGTAAAATTTTATTTGTTGATGAATTTTTTTTTTTGTTTTTTTCATCCCTTAAGGGTAAACACGAGGCATTAATAATTTCATTTTAATTTTTAAAAAATTAATTGTATTTTTATAGCCTTTCGGCAACAAGCAACCAAAAAAAAAAAAAAACTAATAATAATAATAATAATAATAATGATCGTACGGGTATTTTTTTTTTAAAATGAAAAATTCATTATTTTTAAATATTATTTTTATTTTTTAAAAATAGTTGACCTTGGCGTTTAAATTAATAAATAAAAGTGGGTGTTAAAAAATTAGGTAGAAGGGAGGGGGAGGGGGGAAAAAGGTTGTTGCGTCCATACGTTAAACGGCGGAAACGAGTTTTTTTCTTCTTACACTTTTTTTTTTTTTTTTTTTTTTTTTTTTTAGTGAAAGTGGAGCGTATGGTGAAATATCGGATTTGAAAAGTATCTATCGCGCTCGAATTTTCCAAAAAATTTTTCTTTTTTTTTCCGAGCGGGGGGAAAAGGTTTAAAAAAATGTTGTTAATAATTTAGTTTGAAGTGTGCAGGTCATACGGATGCGGGGGAGTCGTCACTTTATTTACCCCCCGCCCCCCTATCTCTTGCTCTTCCTCCTCTTCCTCTTTTTCTTCTACTATTTTGTTTAAAGGCACTTATCTCGAAGGCTTAAAAAGGTTTTTTTTTTCCTTGTTAAGTGAAATAGGAATTTTGACGGATAATAATAATAATAATAGTAATAAAAATGATAATAATAATAGTAATGAACGGTTGTCAAAAAAAGGGGGGAAAAAATGTTCATTTAAGTGTCAATCATAATGTTAAATTTTTTTTTTTTTTTTCGTCGGAAAAAGTTTTGAAAATCGTCTGGGGAGGGAAGGAGGGGGGTAGGACTAAAACGACTCCCCGAAGAATAAATACGAATTTGTAAATAAACGATAATAATAATATTATTATTATTTAATTAATGAAATTTAACAGGTAATTTTTTTTTGAACTTGGCGCGTATTAATTAACAACAAAAAAAAAAAAGAAAAAAAAATCGTCGAATGTTTCTTTTTGCCCCGAAGGAATCAAATCTCCCATTAGCTCTTGTTCCCCGCCGTTTTTTATTATTATTATTATTATCGAATCTAATTTGTCCGTTTTAAATGTGGCGTCTGTTGTTGTTGTTTTTTATGCATTTTCACTTCCGAATTTTTTTTTTTTTTTTTTCCAATCGAATTCAATCGTGTTTCCATCTTCGCCATCTTTCTTATACGGTTATGAATTTTTCCTATCGCCATTTTTAACAAAAAAAAATGTAAATAAATAAATAAGAATGAGTTTAAAAAAAAAAAAATATGGCAGCATCCGGTTAAGTTGTAATAAATAATTTATTTATTTATTTTCATAAAAAAAAGAATTAAGTTTAAATTTTTGATAGTTGGCTTCTTTTTTTTTTTTTTTTTTTTTTTTTTTTGGTAAAAAATTGCCAGAAATTTTTTAACTGTATTATAAAAAAAAAAGCGGAATCGCCCACTCGTTATATGGCGAAAGTAAATTGATTGCATTTTATTTTTATTTTTGTAACAAAATAAAAAATTACTTTATTAGAATGTGGTGCAATTTTATATATTCAATCATTACCATAAAAAGGATTTTTTGTTTTCTCTCTCTCTCTCTCTTTCTCCCCACTCTCTCTTCCCACTCCCAAGGCGTCTTTCTCGAACTTTCCAAAGTTTCAAAATTGTTTTCTAATAAATGATAATAAAGCCAATCGTATCGAATCCCTCAGTTTTTTTTTTTTTTTTGCGTTTTCAATCGCGAATTATTAGGTTCGCAGAGAATGAATGAATGAATGATTGAATGATTGATTGAATGAATGATTGAATGAATTTATGATTTGTTTACAAACGATTGATTCGTTTCTCACGAATTTTTTTTTTTTTTTTTCCCTCTTCCAAACGTTTTGTCAAATATTGTTGTTTTGGTTGTTGTTGTTGTTGTTGTGGTTGTTGTTGTCGATTTTCAGATGTATAAATTATCAAATGAAATTTCCGTTGGGCGACATATTTTATTACACGCTCAATAAATTATTATAATTATCGTTGGAACAGTAAAAAAAAATTTATCGGTTTTCATATTAATTTCCCCGCGTAAAAGATTTTTTTTTGACGATTTATTAAATAATTATAATTATTATTATTTAAGAAAGGGATTCGATCGTTTGTATCCCCTTTACTGTTTGTTGTTGTCTGTAAGGATTTAAAGGAACGTTTGTTGAGCTTTCGCGTTTGATTTTTGGGGTACAAAACAAACAACGATTTGTATTTTTTTTGTTTTTTGAATTTTGTTTGTTTGTTTGTTTGTTTGTGTGTGTGAACGAACCCAAAGGTAAATGATAAATTAATCATTTTTGACATTTCGGACGAGTCGCAGAATTTAAATTCATTAAAAGTAGTCGTTAGACATATCTGGGAGACAAGTGGGACCAGGAAGGAGAATGTGTGAGAGAGAGAGAGAGAGAGAGAACAATTATTTTTCATTAAAATATTTTTAAGTTGGCATTTTTGAATATTTTTTTTTTTTTTTAAAAAATATTATCTGTTTTTGAAATTTTCCTTTGGTCATCTTTATTTGGTCGAACCGCGAACCTGGTTTTTTTAACTTATTGCGTGGGTCCTCGTGGCATTTATAAAATTATCGGTCACTTGACAGGTATTCGATTCGGATCATTTAGATACAAGAATTTCCCCCTCCCCCCAATTCCCTCTTTCCCCTTTCTATCCCCTCGCGTAATGGCAATTTGTGAACCGCAACAACAACGTGGTCTTGTCACGAATCACGACGATAACAAAAACAAACGAAATAAGGTTGTTGTTGTTGTTTGTTTGTTTGTTTCTGATAAAAATCATTTAAGATGAAATTCTCACTCGGAGTTGTTCGATATGTTTTTTTTTTTTTTTCCCAGTTCACGTTTGTTTGTTGCATGCAAAGTTTTCCCATTTTCACTTTTTTTTTTTGTGTATTTGCAGGTAAAACCAAAGTCAACGGATCGACGGAAGGTGGTCTGTGTAACGTCAACAGAGGTGGATGCGAACATATTTGCACGGAAGTTCGAAGAAAAGTCGTTTGTTCCTGTTATCAGGGTTTCAGACTTGAAGGAAATAAATGCGTGGGTGAGTTTTTTTAACAAGGATCGGTAGCGTATCGATTATTATTGATTGAGTGGGTGTCTAATAAAAATAAATTTACGATCGGATTTAAATCACATGACAATTACGGTAATTTGACGATGATGATGATGATGACGACAAGAGCAGTCACGAACAATGGGGGAAATCGTTTTGATAATAAATTGTACTTATAACGAAAAAAAAAAAAAAAAAGAAAAAGAGAGAGAATTATTTGCGGCGCGAAGAAAAATATTAATGGTAGCAATTTTTAAAAATAAAAATAAAATAAAACGTTTTGCTGTAATTATATGGAAAAGAAATAAAAAAAAAAAAAAAAAACGAAAGTATAATCATTATAAAATTAATGACATCGTGACTGAAAACGTTAACGTCATTGTTAGCAGAAGACGTCTACAACCCATCCGATGAAAGAAATAGCTTTAATGATAATGATAATAATAGTGTTTTAAAATAATTACAAATTGTTAATAGCAAAAAAAAAAAAAATAATTTTTTTAATTTGGCAAAATTTGCCTTCCCAAAGATGGGCGTCGAAGGTGTGTGTGATAAAAACAAACTCAAATGGAAAAAGATGGAAAATGGGGTAGAGGAAGAGTAAGAAGAAGGAGAATGTTCGAGAAAAATAATAATAATAATAATTTTTTTTTATGCAGATATCGACGAATGTGAGGTGAACAATGGAGGATGCGAACACACGTGCACCAATCAACCGGGATCGTTCACGTGTCACTGTCCGACCGGACTTCAACTGTCATCCAATGGTAAAACATGCGTCGGTAAGTCCCGCTATTATTTCCGTTTTTTTTTTTGCCCCCCCCCCCTTCCCCAGGGGAGAAGGAGGAGGGAGAGGGAGGGAAGGGTGGGGGAAAGAAGAAAGAAATTTTCCCGCGCAAAAAGTTTTTTTCTTTTCTTTTTTTTTTTCAAATTCATTTACGCGACGCGCAGTAACCATTTTTCTTTCTTTTTTTTTGTCTAAAAAAAAAAAAAAAACGTCACAAACGACAAACAACAAACGAACAATGTGATTTATCACATTGTGATTTCCGTTATTTTTCAAATTCAAATTCGACAAAAAAAGAAAAAAAAAAAGAAAACCTTTTAATAAGAATAAAAAGGTCAAAAGAAATGTAGTTTAACGTCATAAAAATTAATATTAACTATTAATTATATTTATAAAAAAAAAAATTTATTAAATTTGGATAAATCCGCTTTTTTTATTTGGAGAAAAAAAAAAGCGGATTTTGGTCAACTGGAAAAAATATTATTATTATTATTATTATTTTCATATTGATTTTGAATAATGTTTCGTTTCGTTTCGTAGAAATTTAGCGTTAGCATTTAGACGATTATGGAAAAAAAAAAAAAAAAATCTTTTGTCCGTTTTACAATAATAATAATAATAATAATAATAATAATAATGATAAAATGCCTGCAAAACTTTCACCGTCGAATCCTTTTAATTTAAACAGGAAATTCCAGAGTTTGGTGTCCGCCGGCCAACGCACGACTTATTACGTAATATTAATTAATAAACGACCTCTCCTCGTGTATTATTAAATAATTTTCGTCTGGCTTCCATTTTTTTAACGTGCATTTATTTATTTATTTATATCCAAAGCGACCGCGAGATTTTCCCCGTTCGATGCCTTTTCTACACTCGTTTTTTTTTTTTTTTTTTTTTTAATCTTCGTCTTCCAAAATGTTTTCTTCTCCTTCTTCTCCCTCTTCTTGACATTTTCTAGTTCTTTCTTCTATGTATTTTTGTATTATTATGCATTTTGTCATTTTGCAATGACACGGAGTCGGATGTTCTTCTTTTTCCGGATCCAACATGGTTACTTCAATGGCGTATTTTCTCGGATCGTCTAAACGATTACGAAAATACAATTCGAACGCGATAGGATCACCTTTTTCGACTGTTATTTCGAACGGATACACTATGGCGGTTTGTTTCCAGTGAGTTTGAGGTTGTCCCGGTTTCGTGTCGAGAAAAACAAAGTCCTCGTCGTTGTCCAATGCGAAATTACACACGAACCACATGCACAAACCCTGATATTTACCATCGATTTCCGACGGAACTAATGTTTTGTAACGAAATTCTTTCAATTCTTTGTTCGTGATCGTTTTCAATACGACGGATTTGACGACGGAGGGTTCCGCGATTAAATCTTGTTTGTCAACGTCCGTCACGACGGGTTCCTTTTGATTTTCTCTCTGATATTTTCCCAATGTGTTCATTTTTATACCGTACACGTCGTTCCAGTAGTCGAAGAATCGGGGTAATTTACACGGCGCTATCCATAAATCCGCAGATTCCGGAATTAAAAATCCGTCGTCTTTTAAAAATTTATCGCGGGCTTCAATGACTGCGCTCAACATTCCTTCGTGAAATAAAAAATAACCCATCCATTCGGACACGATGACGTCGACCTTTTCGGGCAAATTCAAATCTTGTACGAGACAATGATGAACTTCTATCCTGTCATCTAGATCGTTTTCCTTTACGACGTCTTTTGCTAATTTTGCCATGTTACTCGCTTCGACGGCGTAAACTTTTTTCGCACCGGCTTTGGCACAAAATATCGATAAAATTCCGGTTCCGGTACCGACGTCCAAAACCACCTTTCCCTCGATTTTATTTTTTGCTCCGAAAATGGCTTTCTTATACGATTCCGTTCTCGGTTTGTCATCGAGCATGAGCCTTTGAATTTCTATGTCTTCGTACGCTTTAAAATATTGATCTCCCATTTCTGAAAACAGAAAGAAAAAAAAAAAAAATTTTTTTTTTATTTTTTGCAGATATCAACGAATGTTTGCCGCGGAACGGGCACGGACCTTGCCAGGATCGATGTACGAATCATTGGGGTGGTTATCAGTGCAGTTGCGAAGGGATTCCGGGTACTCAGTTAAGCGAGGATAAACACACATGCGAAAAAATGGATTATTGCAAATCTGGATCGGCCGGATGCAGTCATTCTTGCATAAACGCTTTAGGAAGAGCGTTTTGCCTCTGTCCCGCGGGTTTAGAACTCGGAGAAGACTGGAAAACCTGTCAAGGTATAAATCAATGGAAAGAGTGAAAAATCGATCGAGGAATGTGACAAGCATTCGGGTCAATTATTATGAAACGCGTATTCATAAGAGTTCAAAGATCCACATTATCTAATTCTAATAATTATTGCAAATATTAACTAATAAAATTTGATTGCTTGATAGTTATTGCTGTTGTTAAAACATCTAGACCGGGTCACTGATTGAAAATAATAATAATAATAATACTAATCCGAATGTAAAATGTTTCTCAATCTCGAATTTATTTGTTTCGTTTTTTTTTTTTTTTTTTTTTTTGTAGACATAGATGAATGCGATGACGAAGCCATAGAAAACACATGCGAATTTGGATGCGTCAATACAATCGGTTCGTACTATTGTGCCAAAGAAGAAACAGAAAATGATATTAAGTTAATTCCAGAAGATTTAAAAACTCCCGTTACTTGTTCTCCCGGGTATCAAACCGATCTGGAGGGAAGATGCATAGGTAAAACAATAAATTTTTTCAGTTAAATGTAGGATCTTAGAGTCGCGTTTCAAAATCAACAAACTGGAAGCCTTTTTATTTCAGACATCGATGAGTGTAAAGAAAATACTCATAATTGCTCGCATGATTGTATTAACCGTCAGGGTAGCTACGAATGTTCGTGTCCGGATGGTTACGATTTGAACGACGACGAAATAACTTGCGAAGATTACGATGAATGCGCGGATGACATGGAAGTGGAACACAATTGCACTCAAATATGCATAAACGAAATCGGAAGTTATCGTTGCGAATGCAGAAACGGTTACGAATTGCAAGAGGATAAAACGACGTGCATCGATATCGACGAGTGCGAGTTGAACGTTTGCTCGCATAATTGCAACAACACGATCGGTGGATTCAAATGCTATTGCCCGGAGGGAATGGAGCTATTGAATATAACGCACTGTGTGGATATAGATGAATGTCTTAATCACCTCAACAACTGCTCACACGATTGTATAAATTTATCGGGAACTTATGAGTGTAGATGCCCTAGTGGAATGGTAATGACAAACGACACTATTACTTGCGAAGATGTGAACGAGTGCGATTACAATAACGGAAACTGCACGCAATTATGCAAGAACGAGGTAGGAAGTTATAAATGCGAATGCCTAAATGGTTTCATTTTGAAAAACAATACTGATTGCGAAGACATAGACGAATGTAGCGACCGTACTTTGAATCATTGTTCTTTCGGGTGTAGAAATACACCAGGAAGTTATGTTTGCTATTGTCCTGTTGGTTATATTCTAGGGATGGAAGATTGCGAAGACATCGACGAATGCTTGGATAATAATGGCAACTGCTCACATCTTTGTATTAATCATCAAGGAGGTTACCAATGCAGTTGTTCAAAGGGATTTAAATTAAGTCAAAACAACAAAACGTGCGAAGACGTGAACGAGTGCCTAAGCAACAATGGAAATTGTTCACACACGTGTATAAATAAAGACGGGCATCATGAGTGCGATTGCGAACCGGGATATCGGTTACAAAATTTATACGAATGTATTGATATCAACGAATGCGAAGACAATAATAATATTGACGGTGGTTGTTCAGACGTATGCTTGAATTTACCCGGTAGTTATATTTGCGATTGTTTCGATGGTTATCGGTTAAGTGCCGATAATAAAACGTGCGAAGACATAAACGAGTGCGCGATCGACAATGGGAATTGCACCCACGAATGCATCAATTTAGACGGCGGCTACGAATGCAAATGCCCTTTGAATTTTATTCACGGCGAAGGGAATGTTTGCATAGAAAAAGATCCGTGCAAAGAAAAAAATTGTGATCAACTGTGCAATGTAACTGACGGGAAAGCAATTTGCAGTTGCTACGAAAATTTCGATCTTCAACCCGATGGAAAAATTTGTAAAAAGAGAAATGACTGTTCTGCGTGTCAGCAGAATTGTGTAATTAATGCAGAAGATGGTGCTACTTGTTCATGTAAAAAAGGTTACGTCTTGAAAAAAGACGGAGTGAGTTGCGAAGATGTAAACGAGTGTGCGGACAATCCGTGTTCGCACATATGTAAAAATACCGAGGGAAGCTTTGAATGTGATTGTCCGGAAGGATTCAAAATGAGTGATATAAATGCAAATCAATGCATCGACATAGATGAGTGTAAAGAATGGGAATACGAAGCCGATTATTACGATAATACGATCGACGACACAAATTATTCGGATTTCGGACAATTGTGCTCGCAAATATGTATAAATGTTGTAGGAGGATTTTATTGTAATTGCCGCGATGGATACACGTTAAGTGACGACGATAGAACTTGCGTGGATGATAACGAGTGCTTGAAAAATAACGGAGGTTGTAGTGATGTTTGTGTGAATCTCATCGGAGGATACGAATGTCTTTGTCACAAAGGATTTATTCTAGGTTCCGATAATAAAACCTGCTTGGATGTCGACGAATGCTCACTAAATAATGGAAATTGTTCTCATAAATGCGAAAATGTTAAAGGAAGTTTTAAATGCCACTGTCGAGATGATTACTTATTAGAAGACGATGGTCGAACGTGTCGGAGGGACTGCTCTTTGAATAACGGTTTCTGTAGTCATACTTGCGTTTCCGTTAACGGTAAACCACACTGCGAATGTCCCGAAGGATACACGATACGAAATGATAACGTCACATGCGATGACGTCGATGAATGCGCCTTAAATAATGGAGGTTGTTCGCATACTTGCGAAAACACGGAAGGAAGTTACGAATGCGTTTGTCCCGACGGCCACGATCTCGTTGAACGCGATTGCGTTTTGGTAAATAAATGCGATCGAGAAAACGGAGGATGTTCTCATACGTGTTCAATGCACAATTCCACGATCGTAGTATGCGAATGCCCGAACGGATTCGAAATGGAATCCGATTTCAAGACCTGCGTTTGTCCCATCGGATATTCACAAATCGATAAATTCGAATGTCGCGACGACAACGAATGCGAAATCAATAATGGCGGTTGCTCTCACACGTGCATTAATTTAAACGGAAGCTTTGCGTGCGAATGTCCGCCGGGATTCAAACTCGAGAAAGAAAAATTTTGCATCGACGTTGACGAGTGTGCACGTTCGAACGGTAACTGTTCGCAAGTTTGCATAAACGAAATCGGAAGTTACCGTTGCGATTGTTACGAGGATTTCGAATACGTGGAAAATAACTGCGTAAGGAAAAATCCATGCGAGAAAAACAACGGAGGTTGCGATCAGGTATGCGACAATTTTGACGGAGTCGCCGAGTGTTCTTGTCGCTCGGGCTTCCGTAAAAATGAAACCAAATGCGAAGACGTTAACGAATGCCTAGAAGATCACGGATGTTTTCATTATTGCAAAAACACGATCGGATCATACGAATGCGATTGCAAACCCGGTTTCAAACAAATCGAAAAACATTGCGAAGGTGAGATACGAACGACCATTTTGCTTTTTGATGCTTTTAAAATTTTATTTTTAATGGTGTCCATCTTAATTTTTTTTTTTTTTTTTCGACTTTAATTTTCAGACATAGACGAATGTAAATTAAATATATGTGGCGACAAAAAATGCATCAACACGGTCGGATCTTATCACTGTATTTGTCCACCGGGATACGAATTACTAGACGAAGAATGTACAGGTGAGAAATTATCATCATTATTATCATTATTTGTTTAAATTTAAATTTCGTATAGCCCGAGTAATAATTACTTGAAAAAATATTTAAAATAACTTTGCATGCAAAATAAATAAATAACTCGACAAAAAAAAAGAAAAAAAAAAAAAAATTTATATTATTTTATGAACATTTGCATTATTCAATATTTGTTAGCGCTTGTGTTTGAAAACCGTTTTTTTTTTTTTTTTTTTTTTTTCTTCGGTTTGTTCCCCTGCGAGCGGATGAATCCGTTATTTTTTAAATAATGTTCTCACATTTATTATCTTATTGGCGCTAAAAAATTATTCACCAAAACACCTGTTTTTTTTTATTTTTTTTTAATGAAAATTGAATAAATTACAACGTATCTTTTTTTAAAAACTGGTTTTTTTGCTAGTTAAAATAATAATAATAATAATAAATAATTAAAATAATTACCACAGAAAGACAAAAAATTATATTTTTATCAAAACTGCCAAATTTGTTGTAAAAAAAAAAAAAAAAAAAACGCGAGATAAAATGTGTAATTTCAGATGTCGACGAGTGTGCCATTATGAAACCTTGTTCTGGAGAATGCATAAACACCATTGGCTCTTACAAATGCATGTGTAAAACTGGTTACTTTGAAACAAATGGGAAATGCATTGATATCAACGAGTGTGAAATAAACAATGGAGGTTGCAGTTATAATTGTTTAAACACAGCAGGCAGTTACAGATGTTTATGTCCACACGGTTTTGAAATTAAAAAGTAAGCCGAATGATGACCTAAATTGATTTCGTTTGATGTCGTTTAATGAGATGAAAAATTTATTTATAATGTTTTTAAAATGATTTTTTTTGTCTTGCAACAGCCAAACTTGCGTAGACATTGATGAATGCAAATTAGACAATGGAGGATGCGAGCATATATGCACAAATACAAATGGAAGCTTTTATTGTTCTTGCAAAATGCATTATAATCTTCAGGAGGATAAACAATCGTGCAAAAGTATAATAATAATTTTTTCAATCGCCATGTGTTCGAGTTATATTGAACATGTCTTATTTTATTTTTTTTTTTTAATTCATGCAGTTCATGGAAAATTTTGCGATAAATTAAAACCTCCACTCTTTGGAGAAGTTAAATGTCCGAGAGTTCAAAATTTAGCAGCCGAATTTCCACCTGGAAGCGAATGTTACATAAAGTGTTACAAAGGTTATAAATTCGATGGTGATACCCTGAGAGTTTGCAATGCAGATGGACAATGGACTGGAAGAAGTGGAGAATGCATTCGTAAGTTCAATTTCTAAATCGCATAACATCATCATACAATCGAATATCATTAGTCATTCACACATGATATATCATTCGCTGGGTTATAGCATTACCCTGTCCAAAATTGAAACCACCCGAAAATGGTCATTTCATACCATCATCATGTAGCACTGGGAAAAGTCCACCTTCACATCATTGCATACTTGCTTGTCACAAAGGTTATCACGTGCAAGGGCGAGCAGTACTCACGTGCCTTAATTCACAACAATGGAATAGGCCTGTGCCTAAATGTGGTAAAGGTAAGAAGAAGCTTTATAAATTTTAACCTCAAATTAATTAACATAACCCTGTCATTCGTTTTCATTTGATAATTATGATCATTTCACGCGACAACAATGCTTTTCGACTACATCATAAACAAATTTTTTTTTTTTTTAAAAAAATCAAATTCAAATAACCAAAAAAAAAAAAAAAATTTGGCAGAATTTTTTAAAATAACAATTTTTAATTAACCATCATTTATTACATTTATATCAATCGACATAACGAATGGTTAAACCTCATAATACATATAAACAAATCCACGAGTTTAAAATTAGAAAAAAAAAAAAAAATTGAAAAGAAAATTTTCTACTAACCAACAACAGGTTTGTTTTTATTGACAGACGAAAACGTGACTCTTGACAAAAAAAAAAAAAAAAAAAAAAAAAACAGTTTTACCGTTGCACTATTTCCGGTTGTTCGATATATTCAATCGTTGTTTCCGCATTTTTAAATAAATTATTTTCGCGATTAATTTTTTAATTAATTAATTAATGAAATCGTCAAATCGAAATCAATTAATTATTAATTTCGTTTGAATTGCCACGTGGCAAAAGTGTAGGTTGTTTCCAAGTGCTTTTTAAATTAGGGAACGCGCAACAAACGGAAAAAAACCTTTTTGTGTGTGTGTGCGCGCGCGCGCGTGTCGAATTCCAATTTTTTTTTTTTTTTATTATTATTTAAAAGTCATCAATCAATCAATTTATTCACATTTCAATCATTTAGGACAAATATAATAATAATAATAATAATAAAATAAAATCAAAAAAGATTTTTATTTCGATTCAATTCAAGTAAAATAGAATTTTCTCGAAGAAGAAGAAGAAGGAGGGGAAAAAAAAAAAAAAAAAAAAAAAAACTTCTCGTTATGTTTTGGCAAGTCAATTTATTATTTTCATTTTCATTTTCATTTTATTTTTTAAATCATTTTTCCCATTTGACTAATTATTATAAAATTTTTCATTGACACTCTCGAGTAATAAATAAGAAAAAAAAAAAAAAAAAACAAAAACAAAATTATTCGATTAGATTGCATGTACAATCACAATAATTCTATCAGTATAAATAATATTATTATTTCAATAATAATAATAATAATAACTACTATTATTATTATTATTATTATCATTTACAATGTTGTATATATATCTATATATATATATATGCACTTTGATATATTTAACAAAATTATTCTTAGTCTTATTTATTATTAAATAGTTCATGATAATAATGATTTATCTATACAATTTGTTTAAATAATAATAATAATAATAATTTTTCTTCTCTCTCTCTCTCTCTTTTTTCTCTTAAATAATATTTTATTTCCAATAGTTAACGATAAGGAAAAGAAAAGAAAAGTAATTAATTAATTAATTTTGATACGACTACTTTCTTTCTTTCTTTCTTTCTTTTACATACATTTATATTTTTTGTGTCTTATCGATAATTGATTGATTGAAATGATGATTTATTTATGTTTCGAATCGGAATTGAAAAAATTTAAAATAATAATAATAATAACTGTCATTAAAAACATATAATATTATGGCAATTAAATACTTGTAGTAAGACTGTCAAAATCGAGCAAAACGACAAACATTCACATTTTGCATAGCAGTTTCAGTAGAGCATAAATAAATGAAAATGTATTATGAGATTGATGGTGGTGGTGGTGGTGTATGTCGATTGAATAATAGTAATAATAATAATAATTTAACAGAACTTCCATCGGTTACCACATTCATTGCACAAAACAAATGTCGTCATAGGTTCGTCGGCGCTCCTCGTCTGAACTTGATTGTAAGTGCAATTTCTCTTTTTGCATTTACCACATTTGAGTAAATCGGTTTTGGTACCTTGAACAGTAGCTAACTGAGCATCGTTGATGGCTTCTTTTTTGAATTTATCCCTTATTTGTTTCATTTCATCACTAGCAAGTTCTTCGGCCGTCATGACTGCGAGCCTCGACGCGGGCAAAGCTCCGATTAAATAATTCATTCTCAAATTTGGATTTTTAGGATCTTTTAAATTGGCTACCCTACTCCTTATTCTATTTTTGTACTTTATATCTGTGTTACGAAATTCGTTAAAAATGGCTTCTTCTAATTCTTCGGCCAAGTCCTCGGGAGAACCGCAACCGTCCACTTGATCGGATTCCGTGTTGCCTTTGATCGCTGCGGCGAGGAGTTCCCGACATTTGATTCGAACGGAATCGGCTGTGTTGCTGGGTGGAAACGACGTCTGATGTCTTTTCCTATCATCCTTTTTGGTAGGCTTTGGTTCTTCTGATTTATCTTCGACCGGTTTTGATTTTTCCAATTTGGGAGTATTGGCGGCGGTGGCGGTGGTGTTGTTGGTGTTGTTGTCTTTGTTGTTACTCGTCGCACTCGAATTCGATAGGAATTTTTTCCAATTTTTAATGAGGGTTTTCGATAGGGAAATAACTTCATCGTCCGAACTTGATTTTCTCAATTCGTTAACGGTCATACCGATTCTCGTTTTTGTTAGTATTTCCAACGTTACCGGAAGGTTTTGTAATTCTTTTAACAAATCTAATGCTTGATCCTGTCCACCGCCGGATGACATTTTAATTAGTTTTTTTTGTATGCGCATAACCTCTTCCTCCGTAGACATTTTTTTTTTTTATGAGAATAAAAGTAAATTGTTGTCTTCTTTTTTTTTTTTTTATCTTTACTTTTCTGTTTTTTTTTTTATTGTAATTTCGATTTGAGAACCTTGGCCCAAGGAAAACAATCGATTTCGTCGATTTGTATCGCGATTACGATAAATATCGAAACAATAATTAAATCAAATTGAAATTCATAATAATACGCGAATAAAAAAAAAATAGTTTTCAAAATGAAATCAAGTGTTTTTGACTTTAGTAATAATAATAAATCGAAAATAATAAAATGATTAAAAACAACAAACGATTCTATAACAAGATGGCTTGTTTGGCTCAGTTGGCCAACTCATGAAAAATAAAATTTTTTTTTTGTTAGTTTTAGTTTTTAACGCGGGCGGCGTGTTTTTCCTTTGACGACTCGTCGCGTTCTTTAGTACCACTTTGAAAAAAAAAAAAAAAACTTAGTTGAATCGAGTTTTTCGCGGATTTATTTTTACTTTTTTTTTTTTGTGTTTTTATTACAGATACTCCGCCCCCGTTCATACTATGTCCTCCAGACATAAGAACGGAATTACCGGAAAATAAATTTACGGTTTTTATAAAAATACCACAACCGAAATCAAACGTCGATTGGTGGAAGTAAGTTTTACAATGTTATTTCATATGAATTTGTTTTATTTAGTATTATTATTATTATTATTGAAATTATTAAATGAGGATTGATTGATTGATTGATTGATTGTTTTCGTCAGTTATGTGGATTCACATCCATCGTGGGCGAAACGCCTCGAGGGAGATTTTCCAATCGGCGTCACATCCATCATGTTTCACGCTCGGAGTCCCGTGTCTAATTTAACGGCTGCATGCAGGTTTCAGGTTCACGTTTTCGGTAAGTTTATCGGAGAGTTTTCCAGATGAACGAATTCGGGGGGTTTATTTGTCGTTGTCCACGAATGTAATTTGTCAAAAATTTTTCAGATAATGAAAAACCGAAAGTCAACAATTGTCCGGAATCATTCGAAGTGACGATTTCTAGTAAAGAAATAAGTAAAGTCATTACGTGGAAAGAACCAACGTTTACGGACAATGTGAGAATCGAACACGTATACAAATCAAAGGTAAAGTTTTCCTTTTTTTTATTTATTTTATTTTCTTGGACAAAATATAATTGAGAGAACTCGAGATCTCGTCCATCCATCCATCCATCCACCACATACACACATTCACGGTACTCGATGCGCGTTTGGCAAAATTTTTTACTTATAGGAACCCGGAACGAGGTTTAATGTTGGCAGACATCATATTAGATACGTGGCAACGGATCCCTCGGGAAATCAAGTGACTTGTCATTTCGGAATAACGGTTAAAAGTGGGGAAAATACGGACGTCGGAACGAAATCAACGAAAATCGGAAGGAATTTTATTAAAAAATTAATTGTCTGCCCTCATTTGGTATCCGATGAACAATTAATGCCTTCTTATTTGGTTTGTAATTTACGACTTGATTGCGTGCCTGAATTGTTGCCTGCCTATCTGCCTGTCTGTCTGTGGCTGAAATGAGCTTTTATGCGAATACATGCTGACGTTATAACTCAGACGCTCAATCGCTTCACAAAAAAAAAAAAAAAAAAAATACATGCACGAAAAAGAAAATAAATTGCTTTCATCAAGTTTGCCTTGATTTGTTTGCTGTGGTCAAGTTTGAGATTCTTTTGCTTTATCCTAAGAACTAAAATTAAAAATTTTTTTTTTTTTTTTTTTGATGATAATTTTAGGTTTCGACGAGATGCGTCGTACAAAGACAACATTTAACGCGTGTCATGGCGGAATATCCGGTTCAAGTTTACCAACGTGAGTTATTTAACGGTGATGAAAATCCTTCGAAATCCGCCGACGATCTCCATTTATCAAAATGAAATTTTTTTTAAATTTTTAGATCATAGAGTACGTCATCATCACGATCGCGTCATAACAGCATCGTCGCGTACGAATCATCATCATCATCGATTGACAACTTCATTTCCGAGACGAGATTTCATGAAAGACGAACCTCACACACGTACCGGAGGTAAAAGAAACGACAGCAAAATGACGGGGGGATCGAGAGATGTCGTGTTGAAAATAAGAGGTGGTGTGCGCGACAACAGCAGCACCGTCACACTCGACACTCGGTCGCTCATCGAACAGAAAACTCACGACAGAGACGTGGCGAGATGGGAAAACGCGGTTAAAAATCATCAGATGCAAAGCAAACCCGCACCGTCGGAGTCGAATCCGAAAGACAACGTCAGGTTATTGGAATACGAGAGCAAAAGACGACAGGAAGAGGAAAGAATGAGGAGACACGAATTGGAAATGAAAAGATGGAGAGAAGACATGAGAAAATATCACATGGAAATGAAAAGATTACAAGAGGATTCTAGAAGATATCGTGCCGGATAACGAACCGGAAATGGAATTATATATATTTATTTCAATTTATATATAGAAAAAAAAAAAAAAAAATCAATAATCAAAAGAAAGAGATAGAGATAGAGAGAGAGAGAGAAAATGTCGAATTATTTTTTAACACGGTCGGTTTTCCGGGGAATGCGAATCAATCAAAATCGTTACCATATTTAATTTCAATATATAATCAACGATCGATTTTCCCTTTTTTTTTTTTTTTTTTTTTTTTTTTTTTTTTCTCTTAATTATGTAGCTTTAATAATATTTTAAGAATAATATAAAATTATTATTATTATTATTATTATTATTAGAAACGTTATAATTGATTAGTATTATTATTATTATTATTGATAAAAGTTGAAAATTGTCATCTTGAAATTTATTTTTTTTTTTTTTTTAAACACAAAATTTCCAGAAAATTCCAAAAAAAAAATTGATAACATAACTAACCGTTTTTAATAATTACTAATAATAATAATAATATTTATTAATAACTTTTATCTATATGATTAATTAACTAATAATTAACAATAATGTATGATATTTACTTAATAATAATAATAATAATATTAACGATGATGATGATGATGGTGGTGATGCATTTGTAACTAAAATAATATGCACTAATTGTAATACGGTACGGTTAACATTTTTTCCGCTTAAAATATTAACGTAATAATAATGATAATAAGATACCTGAAACTTATCGTTTTCAAAATTGATAATAATGATATTTATAAATTATTTTTTCCCGACGGGATTCGTCCTTTGTTTTTGTTTTAATCCCCGATTAAAACCGGGGTTTAACTCATTCGATTTTAACAAATTTTATTTAATAATAATAATAATAGTAGTAGTAGTAGTAGTAGTAGTAGCAGCTTTGTTTAGTCACAATAATAATGATAATAATAATATTTAAAATAATTCGCTTTTTTTTTGTAAATTACGTACGAGTTTTTTAAATTATTACGGTAAGAAAAGAGAGATAAAATAAGTAATAAAATCGTTAATTCGTTAACAATTAACGTAAAAATTATTATCATTATTAATAATTACACCTACTACTACTACTGCTATTATTATTATTATTGATTTATTTCCGTTTGATTTTTATACGGGACGAATCTTGTCGTCGTCGTATTTCTTTACAAAATCCCTTTCGGGTCATCATCATCATTATTATTAAAGTATGGAAGGGATGGGAAAAATAAAATTGTCATCGTATCGTTTCATTAATATTATTATTATTATTATTTATATTAAACATTGTAAATATTTATATATACATAAGGTAAATGTATACACGCACACGTATACATAAATATGTATATATAAATAAATTTAATGATTTTGTATTATTATTATTAATAATTTATAAAAGGTTTCTTGCATGTTTGGTTGCGTGTGTGCGTGCGTATATAAAACGAACGTGTAATCAGTCTTCTTGAATTGTTTACGTTGATGCCACGTGGGATTCAGGTGCGATGTATTTAAGGATGGGGGATTCATCATTATGGGTCCAAACATTTATACGATCCGATCGTGTTGATGCAATCATGACGTTTACAATTCACGTTGTAATCATCGGGATTTAAACATTCGTCGATATCTATCGAAAGAAACAAAAAAAAAAAAACGAGTTCGATATTTACGTTCGATTAATCGAAAAACTTTTAAATTTTCAAACGTCGGACTTACCGTGACAAGTTTTCCAATCATCCCCTAATTCGAAACCGTCGGGACAAGTGCAATACGTCACGTCGGACAAGAGTATGCAAGCGTGACTGCATCCGGCGGAAATGACGTCACATTCGTTTAAATTAACGCACGTGTGATTATCGGATGATAATTTCGTACCGGGTATATTTTCGCAACTGCACTCGTAACTTCCTTCCTGAAGACGGGGGGGGGGAAAAAAAAAACGCGTCGTTATAATTTCGGAGAAATGTGAGGGGGCGGGGACCGGGGGAGGGGTTGATTTTAATAATAATAATAATAGTTTACCGTGTTCGTGCAATGATCTTGACAGGGACCGTGTCCGTTTCTTAACGTGCATTCGTTAACGTCTTTGCAAACGCCTTCGACGGTACGAAAACCCAAAGGACAAGATATTTGTAATGATTTCAAAACGTTTTTACCACATTTACCGTGCGGGCAAGTTTCGTTGTTTCGGTTGTTGTGGTTGTTGTTGTTGTTGTTGTTGTTTGTTACTGTCAAAATATTAAAAAAAAAAAAAAAAATTTAAATTTGTTAATCGTTATTTACGAGTGAGTGACGGGCGGGGAACGTATTTTAAACGTAGCCGGAAGTTGTTATTAAAAATAAACCGACCAGTTTGATGTCTGATATTATTAATAATAATAAGGCCCCTAAAATAAATCATAAATAATTGTGAAGGGGGGGAAGAGAGAGGGAGAGAGAAAGAGTGAGAGTGAGAGTGAGAGCGAGAGAGAAAATGATGATGGCGTTTGAATATTACACGCGAATTTTTTTTTTTTTTTTTTGCTGTTGGAGTTAATTAAGAGGAAAAAAAATTTGCAAGAAAATTTTTTTTTTTTTTTTTTTTGCAGACCTTTCGGTTCATTCGGTCAAGGACTTTGGTTTTTTTGCTGTCGATGATCCAATCGATAAATGGGAAAAAATTTTGAAACAATTTCTGCTGTTTTTTTTTTGTTGTTTTTGAAACAGAAATCTAAGACAAGAAGAATTTGATTGTTTTTCATCTCTCTCTCTCTCTCTCTCTCTCTCTCTCTCTCTCTTTGTTGTTAATTACCTGTCGGTTTCCTTTGAACGAATTTAATTAATTTGTAACGTTTGGGTGTTTGAATGTTGCTATGATCGTTAACCATTGTTAAATTTTCTTTTTTATGTTTTTTAAATTTTTTTTTCTTTTTAATAACTTTTCTTAAAGAATCATGACCGTTGTTGTTGTTGCTGTTGCTGTTGTCGTTGCCGTTGCTGTTGTTTTTATTCTTTTTCGCGATTACGTCATCGTCGTCGTCGTCGGCGGCGGCGGCGGCGTTTTTTCCTTCCTCTCCTTCTTGTGTTTTTTTCATTTTAACGTATTTCATTAACGGTTTTTTATTGAAATTTAAAAATTTTTTCTTTTTTATTCGTCTTTTACCCGTCGTCGTGTAAACATATGATTTTTCATAATTTAAAGAATCTTTTGCTCTGTTTTGCCTTTCCGAACGTTTTGCTTCGTCGGGAAATGGATTTTTCGTCATGAAAACGCGAGAATTTTTAAATATTTTCAAATTTTTATTTGCCGTCGTCGTCGTTTGAATTTGTTTTTCGGTTGAAATCTCTAATGTTTTCTTATTCGTTTCCTCCTCCTCCTCCTCCGGCATGTCCCAACTGTTTAACAAACGAAAAATTTTAATGAGAGTGAGAGAGAGAGAGAGAGAAAGAGGAAAACGCCATAGAAATAAATCAAAAAAAAAAATTTTACCTGAAAAGTGGTCGAGACGACGAATGTTTGCCGTTTGGTCCGTTGATTGTTTTTTCAAATTTTTCCAACGGTCTCTCCCAAAATTTCACATACGTTTTATTTTTGTCGTCTGCATTTTCAAACAAATAATAACCGTTTGAATAAATTTGATTTTTACCGCTGACGTATCTCGTTCTTTCGTGTCGCGTGTGATGACATAAACCTAACGGGAAAAAAATTTTTTTTTTTTTTTTTTGTAACAACAACAACAACAGCAATAAAACACAACAACAACGGAAACACGTACCCGATTGAAAAATTATAAATAATAATAATGATAATGATAAAACTTTCATTTCGAGAGTTAAAAAATTTATTAATAATAATAATAACGTTGATACTCGCGTAAAAAAAAAAAAAATACGTTGTTCTCATACGAAAAAAAAAATCACAATAATAATAACAACTCGGTTTAATCCAGATTTAAAATGTGTATGTAGTGGTAGTAGTGTGTGTGTGTGTGTGTGTAATAAGTTTAACGCCCACAAACAAATCAGGAAGCCAACGCAATAATAAATGAAAAATAATAATTTAACAGCTTGTAAAATAGTTTACGAGAAAGAAAGAGAAAGAGAAAGAGAAAGAGAGAGAGAGAGAGAGAGAGAGAGAGAAAAGCGAAAGAATAAAAGAGAAAGAGAGAGTGAGAGAGAGAAAAGCGAAAGAATAAAAGAGAAAGAGAGAGAGAAAGAGAGAATAGAAAACCGAGAGAGAGAGAGAGAGAAAGAGAGAATAGAAAACCGAGAGAGAGAGAGAGAGAGAAAAATGAGGACACCCGCTTTTCAAACAAAAAAAAAAATTTTGCACCTTTTCTCTCTCTCTCTTTTTTCTCGTTGTTTTCTTTTCTCCCTATCTCTCTCTATCTATCTCTCTCTCTCTCTCTTATAACTTTTGCCGAAAAAAAGAATTTTCTCGTATTAATCATCGGATTAAGTTTTTTAAATGTTCCAACGTCCTCCATCCATGTTGTGTAGTAGTATATTTTAGGTGATTACAACACACGATTCGTTTTTTTTTTTTTTTTTTTTATTGTCGTTCGTTATAATAACCCGAAATTCATATCGTTATCATTATTATTATCATTATTATTATTATTATTATTATTATTATTATTATTATTATTATTATTAAATTCGTAAAAAGCTTTGAATTATTAAATATTAAAACGCGAATTAACATAATTTATTTTTAAAAAAAAATTTTTAGCGGTGATTTATCATCTTATAAAAGGTATAACGAACGATAATAGATATTTAATGGATTTTATTTATTTATTTATTTATTATTAAATTTTAAAATTATTATTTATTAATGACGAAAAGAGAGAGAGAGAGAGAGAGAGAGAGAGAGAGAGAGAGAGAGAAAGAGAGAGAGAGAGAGAGAGAGAAAGAGAGAGAAAGTAAAAATTTAATAGGTTTCGTTTAAAAAAAAACAAAAAAAACAGTTTTTGTATCGTTTAAATTTAAGTTCGTTTTTTTTTTGTTTTTTTTTTTTTTTTTTTGTTTGTTTGTTTTGTTTGTTGTCTTCTGCTTTTATTTAAAAAAAAACAAAAAAAAAATTTGGCATAATGATGATAACATTCATATTATCGCGAATTGGAATAATCGGTTTCCGATTAAAGCGAATTTTTTTTTTCAATTAAAACGCGTTTGATTTATTGGATGTGTTATAATGACGGCGTTTCCGCATTTGATATCAATACATTACAATAACAACACTATCGATTATTATCATTATTATTATCATCATTATTATTATTTGGAGTAAACGCAGCGTTGTTCGTTTTAACGAAAAAAAAAAAAAAAAAAAAAAAAAAATGTACACGCAGCGTTTTACGTAACATTTACGTTTTTTTACTTATTTATTTAATTTACGACGTACGTTTTAATTATGTTAATAATGATAATAATAATAATAATAATAATAATAATTATATTTTTAATTAATTAACCTTGTTTAAGGTCGAAGTTGAATTTTTTTTCTTTTTTAATTTTCTTCATAAATTATTATTATTATTATTATTATTAAAACAAACAAACATCTGGTTGGAAAAACAAGTAAAAAGACGTAAAAGTTGAAAAACAGGAAAAATGAGAGAAAATGTCGGAGTGGATGATAAACAAACAAACAAACAAACAAACGAACGAAGAGCGGAGTGGGAAATTATTATTATTATTATTATCATCATCATCATTCGTTTCGTTTAATGAAAGAAAAAATTCGTAACTGAAAATTTTTTTTGTTAGGACGATCAAAGGTTGCCATTAAAATTAAGTTGGTCGGTTTTCAAATGACTGCCGACCGATTAATAAATTGATTGATTGATCGATCCATCGATCGATCGACCGCGTCTTTCAATTAATTTTTTTTTTAGTTTAAAACATACTTTAAATAATAAAATATTATTTTAAATAATAACGATAATGATAATAATGATGATAATAATTTTTTTTTTTTTTATGTTTCATAAAACATTCAATGTCGTTTTATATAAATTTCAAAGTCGTACGACTAACTGGTTTCCTTTCAGATTTTTTTTTTTTTTAACGAAGACAACAAACAACATCGTATGTCTTGTTATTATTATTATTATTGACAAACGTAATGATGTTTCTCAACATTGTCGACATTAAGAATTGTAGAGAAAAAAAAAAAAAAAAATTTTCCACGAGGCGATCTTTATAAAGTTCAAAGTCAAAAGAAAAAAGTTGGGTTGGCGCCGACGAGTTTTATGAAAAATGAGAGCGCAGAAGAGGTAATTTGAAAAACAAACAAAACAAAACAAAACATGTCGAAATGACGATGACAATAACAACAACAAACAATAACAACCACCACGAATATTAATAAAAATTATTATCGAAAACATGATTTTGTTTTAATGACGTACGATCGGGATAGAGAGAAAAAAAAAATTATTATCGCTTTTTTTTTTTTATTTTTTTTATTTGCCTCCGAATATTGTTATAAAAAAAAAAAAAAAAAGAATATGAAAATTTGAACTTTGACCCTGAATGAAAAAAAAAATTATATTAAATTAAAAGTTTTTTTTTTTTTTTTAACATTATTAATTTAATAAACGATTTGGTTTTCAGATAAATCACTCGATTCACGAAAGTTGACGCTGTTGGATTTATTTTTTGTCATTTCATTCTAAGAACAAACGAGGACGACAACGACAACGACAGGAACGACAGCAACATGATGAACGGTAAAGAAAGCGTAGAATTCGGAAAGGTGAGCCTTTCTTTTTTTTTTTAATTATATCAATAATCACCTGTCGCGTCGAATTAATTACGTAAGAGCAACAACAACAACAACAACAACAGCACGCGAGATAATTTAAAAAACAAACAAAAAAACAGAAAAAATAATTTTGTAATATTCTTAGGTCAAGGTTTGGATCGTCGGGTTATTGTCAAAAACGTTAAACGGAACCCCTAAGTTAGGTCAAAAGGTACAAACGCATAAATGACGTATCACACGGTTGTTGTTATGTTTTATTTACTTAAATGCGTAAGAAAAAAAAAACATAGGAAAAATCAGAGAGAGAGAGAGAGAGAGAGATGTTGAGAAACCAAAAAGAGAGAGAGAGAAAGAGGGAAGAAATAGTTGAAAAACGAAAGAGAGAGAGAGAGAGAGAAAAACGTAACAAATGATGTAATTTGTTTTTTATTTTTTACCATTATTATTATTATTATTATTATTATTATTATTATTATTATTATTATTATTATTATTATTATTTTTACCGGCCATTAAAAAAAAATTCTATCATATATAAATATATCATATGAGATATAAAATGAACCAGTCACGATTTGTAGGTTTTACCGGTTATTTCAATTTAAAAAAAAAAAGAAGCGGAAATCGATTTAAAAAAAAAAAAAATAATTTGTGAGTGTGTGCGCGTGCGCGTGTTTGTATCTCTTCACGGTAGCAAAAACAAAAAAAAAAAATAATAATAATTTTTTTACAACAATGAACGGGAGCATAATTGATAAGAAAAACAACGATGGGGTTGTTTCCGATTTAGACAACGTAAGAAAATTATTATTATTATTAATTTTTCCTTAAAAATACGTTTCCGGTAAAAAAACGTATTATTATTATTATTATTATTATTAAATAAAGGTATGAATGAATGAATGATGAATGAGGGGTTTGTTAAATGTAATTTTTTTAAGGAAAATCGTTTGTTTGTTTGTTGCATTGTTTGTTTGTTCGAAGGTTCTATACGATTTTTACTTAGAGGGAGGATTGGGGAAGTGAGGAGAGGCGGGGGGTAATTATTACCGTAATAATAAATCATTTATTTATACCCTTAAAAAAAAAAAAAAAAAATTGCAAAAATTTAAAAACGGATCTCGTTCGAATTTGTCGTGGAATTAATTAAAAAAAAAAAAATTGACAGTCGTCGTGTAATTAATAAATAATTTGAATTCGGATTTTTTTCCCCTTTTTTTCGACGTGTCATTAATTATTAAAATAAATTTTTTTTTTTTTTTTTTTTTTTGTGTCAACGACGACGACGACGACGACATTTTGTATAAAACAATTCGCGGTAAGCGTGGAGGAAAATGCGTATTTCGGTTTTACCAAACGCAATAATAATAATAATAATGATAATAATGATAATGATGATGATGATGATGATGTTAATAATAATAATAATTAATCGAACGAGTCGGAAAAAAAAAAAAAAACCGTTTACGGGAAAATACATGATAGGTTATCGTCGTCGTCGTATTGAATTCGTGCGAATTTCTATCCACGCGTCGCGACGAC